GTCTTCCTTATTCACTGTCCAGCTTTTGCATGCATATGAGGTTACTGAAAACACCATGGCTTGGGTCAGGCGTACCTTAGTCCTCAAACAGATATTTTTGCTCTTCAACACTTTAAAAAGGTTTTATGCAGCAGGTTTGCCTAATGCAATACGTCGTTTGATTTCTTGACTGCTGATAGTGGAGGTGTATCACAGCCTCTATACAAACCTCTCTCCCTCCTTTTTCAATCTTTCTTTCTTTGCCTTTGTCTTTGGCAAAAGGCTGCTCTGATCAGATCACTGACTTCTACTCTTTTCCACATAGAAATATCAGCAAGTAGGTTTATAGCCAAGCAGCTCAGACTTGCTCTTGATATAAACTAATCTCTAAATCACAACATAACCCTCACCAAGTGCAGAAGGCGCATTTCTAAGTGCTCTGTGTCTACCATCTCCTTAATTGTGCCTGTGAAGATCTCATTATTATTCCTACTTTACAAATGAGGAAACGAAGGTGGAGAAGTGAAATAATTCACCCAGGTTCCCCAAACAGCTGGCAGGGTTTTGAACCTGAGGAGCTTTGGGGGAACAGCAGTTAAGCACTTGGCTGTTAACTAAAAGGTTGATGGTCTGACCACCCAGTGGTTCCATGGGAGAAAGATCTGGCAATCTGTTTCCATAACGATTGCAGCCTAGAAAACCCTCTGGGGCACTTTTACTCCATCACATGGGGTCACTATGAGTCAGAATCAATGACAGCACCTAACAAGAAGCAGTCCTGGCTGCAAAGCCCCAAATATCACCCCAGACTACCTCACAGTGGGCTCCTTCAGCTGGTCAGAGACCTGCTATCTTGAGGACTGTGTCTGATGTCATTCTTACCCACATGGACAGGTGCCAAGGGCCAGAGATATCATGGGACTGCATACAGAAACTTGGGGAGAAACATCTTGGATGGGAAAGGAGCATCTTGGATACATTGCTCTGGCATGAAGGGAGACTGGTATTCCACCAGAAACCCCAACACGGGCCACGACAAGCCATGGGACACTTCTTATGAACTTGTTGTTAAGTGCCATCGAGTCGGTTCCGACCCATAGCGACCCTGTACAGGGTTTCCAAGGGTGTAAATCTTTACGGGAGTAGAAAGCCTCATCTTTCTCCTGCGGAGCGGCTGGTAGTTTCGAACCACTCACCTTAAGGTTCGCAGCCCGATTCGTAACCACTACGCTACCAGAGCTCCTTATGAACTTATGAACTTAGGGAGTTGGAATCCCCACTTAAGCCTTGTTGTTGTTGTTAGGTGCCATCGAGTCAGTATCCATTCATAGTGACCCTATGTACAACAGAACAAAACACTGCCTGGTCCTGGGCCAACCTCACAATCTTTGCCATGCTTGAGCCCATTGATGCTGCCACTTTGCCATTCCGTCTCACTAGGGGTCTTCCTCTTTATCTCCGACCCTCTATCTTACCAAACATGATATTCTTCTCAAGTGACTGGTCCCTTCTGACAATATGTCCAAAGTATGAGAGACTAAGTCTGGTCATCCTGGCTTACAAGGAGCACTCTGGCTGTACTTCTTCCAACAAAAATCTGTTTGTTCTTTTGGCAGTTCATGGTACTTTCAATATTCTCCTCCAACACCATAACTCAAATGTGTCAATTCTTCTACAGTCTTCCTTATTTATGGCACATAGAAACTGCAATATCATAAATGTTTATTGCTTAAGTGGCTAAGTTGAAGGAGAAATTTGTTAAATAGCAATCAATAACCAGTACACTCCAATCTTGTTCCAGAGTATTAGAACCCAGGTCTACATTACACAGACCAAAGGGCAGCCTCTCCAGGAGCTGCAAAGAACCCTTGGCCAGCTCTCTGCTTTACTAAAAGAGCCAAATCTAACCCCTTTCAGAGTCTTCCTGTTCACTCTTTCCACCAGGAGCAATCATTACAAGTTTAACATGGATGAACCTTGAGGACATTATGCTGAGTGAAATTAGTCAGTCACATAAGGAGAAATACTGCATAAGACCATCATTATAAAGGACTAAGAAAAATAACCCACCCAAAAGGGGAAAAAACAAAAAACTATATATATAATTGCTGATCACCGGGATGTATGGGATGAGAGGAGGGGAGGGGTGGCTGTTGTTTTCTTATCCAGTCTGCCACTCTCTGTCTCTTCACTGGTGCATTCAGTCCATTGACATTCAATGTAATTATTGATAAGTATGAATTAATTGCTGCCATTATGTTACTTTTTTGGTAGTGCTGTTCTTTGTTCTGCATGCCTTCTTGAGCTGAGTTTGTGTTTTTTGTGCTATTTCTTGTCA